TTTATTAACCCTTTACTTATTAATAAAAGTTAATCTAATTAATAAAAATTTGACACATAAATCATAAATTTATGAGATCAAATCATATTATTAATATGAGAACTTTGCCAATAGACTATTTATAAATACTTTTGTAAGCATTTTTCAACTTGAAAACATGTCTTATTCTTAATAAACACTTAAGATCCAACTTACCTAAACTTTTCATTATAAAAAAAGGGTTAACAGCCATTTTTTTCACAAATTGTTTTTTCGAAGTGTTGGATATCTTGTATTGAAGGGTAGTGCAATGTTTCTATAAATAATTTTTTTTTTCAAAAGCAAAATAGTCTTTTCATCATAAACTTATTATCTTTTTTTTATTATTTATTGATGTAAAATAGTGATAGAACGCATTCTAACTCATTTGTATCATTTGATATGGGTGAAAAGAGCAAGAAGTACAATGATATTGGTATGAATCCGTGCTTGATTTAAGGAGTGAAATAACTACAAAATATGTTAGAATACCTCAGTGTCACTATACATAGATCTCATCACTATTTCATATTAGCAAATAATGAAAAAGATAATCAATTTTTGATGAAAGGATAATTTTGCTTTTTTAAAAAAATATATTTAGGAAGATATTGCCTCCTCTTCAGTTGAACAAGTTGTAATAAAACCCTACAAAAACCCCCTATTCAGGATGAGAGAGAGAGAGAGAGAGTGTGTGTGAGGGGGACGGGTTTGGTGGCATCTGGACAGCTGGATGACCCGCAAACACAGTACAGGACCCTCTCTGTGTGTCTCTGAAACCATTAAATAGGGTTCCTACCCTTCTTCCCATTTTCAGTATTGCAATCAGACTTCTCTTATTATCATGAATTTCCAACTTTGCAAGGTGATTTTAATGCTCTGGTCTGGTTCCTTCATGTGAAACGCTGTGTTTAGAAACATGTATCAAACTTTCCTTGCGAATCCTAGACGCTTGTTCGTTCCTTGTCATCTCAGCCGTTGATAATTAACATACATTTTGTTCAATATAATGCAGCATTTCTCTTGTATCAAGGCAAGCAGGTTATGGACCAAATCCAAACTAAAGTCTTATGACCTTTCTGTTTTATAATACTACTTTTTTTATTTAAGGTCATTAGTATTACATCCGGATTAAAAAGTGTTATATTTCATTAAATTTATCACTCATTTATTTCAGTAGATTATTGCCTCTAAAACCATGTAATATTTCTTTTTGTCCTAATTATAGGACGGGATTTTAAAACAGTATGTGATTAAAACAATAGGATTTTTTTTTGTGATTTCAACTTTTTAATTTTTTTAAAAAATTTTAAGTTGATTTTTCTAAATTTATAATTTTATATTAGACAAAAATAATCAATAATTCTTATAAATAAAAATTATAAAATGTTAATTTTAATCCTATAATTAGTTTGTATAAGAAATGTATTTTAAATAATGATAAATCTATTTTTTGGTAATTAATAAAATTATTTCTACATATTTAAAAAAATATTTTTAGGTTGGGCTAAGCCCGACCTGATATCCAAACTACCACATCCGCTAGGCACCAATTTGGGATGAAGCTCCACCTGTTTGCACCAGTTGTTCAATATCTTTTGAGGACATTACTGGTCATGATTTTATTCATAAATATTTTTCTTTTTAAATTCAATAGCCCATACAGGTCCAATTTTTGATAGCTAGTCATTTTATGTGATTTTCCAGTCCTTTATATATAATTTTGAGGGTCGTTTTCTATTTTTTTTCAATTAACAGTTACAATTAATTTTAATTAAGAATATGTTTGGTTGGGAGGTTTTAGAGGAGAGGAGAGGGGAGCCTCCCCTCATTTGGTTAAGAAATTGGAGTTTGTTAGAGGGGAGTTAATTTTTTTTAATTATTTTGCTTATATTTATTTTTTAATATTCTAAATATACCCATAGCTAAAAAAAAAAAAAAAAACTCTCATTCATATCATATTGTGCTTTACTCCTAGAGCTTGACTGACCTCATTGAATTTTTTTTAAAAAAATTACAATTCATCATATTTTATTATATATTTAAGGGAGTTATTTATTTTTTATAAAAGATTGTTATCATTATAATTGTTGGTTTAATTTTTTTTATTCACATATTGATAATATAATAAGATGAGAGTGAATTTTTAAAAAATTATGTAATTTAAATTGAGGTGCAAAATTATTTTCTACAAAGAACAATTAAATTTTTTTAAACTAATGTATAAAAATATTATAGTAAATTAGTTATTATTTTTCCTGCCTAAGCCAAACAAAGAATCATTAAAAACTCCTCTCCTCCCCTTTCCAATAAGGTAATATTAAAATCTTACCCTTCCCTTCTCCCAAACCAAAAACACTCTAATGGTGAAAGTAATATTATATCATTTTTAAAAGTTAAAGGAAAATATTATATTAAAAAATAAGTTTTTTATCAGAAAAATAAATTTAAAGTTTTGCAATATCCTGAACTTATAATTTAAGGACAAAACTGCTTTTTAACCCAATAAATATTCATATAAAATGAGCATGATATATGGAAGCTACTGCTCGTTATTATTGTTATTTGTCTGTAATATTTGGATATAAAAATATTTGGATGAAGCTTGGCCTGTTTCCACTAATAATGTTTACCCATGTGAGCTATGACACTATTTATGTGAATTTATCAAAAAATGAAAATGATTGGGACTTCAAAACATGCTTGATGGCTGATGCTATTAATATATGTATCACTCTTGCCAGATTGATTCCCACACAACTCTCGGACGATGGAGAAATGTACAGCGGTTCTGTTGATGAAAGGATCGAAGAAGATGATTGACTTATTTATCTTCACATCTTAATTATTATATTTATATTTATATTTTTTTAATTCATTTTATTCCCACAAGCAAACGGGGCTTTTAGTGTCACAAGGTCACAAATCAAACTAGATTCACATGTACTTCCTCTGGTTCTAATTGTAAAACACTTTTTAAAAACAATTTCTGATTCAAAATTTAAGATACCTAGTATTATTTAAATAATTTTTTAAATTTTATTCTTTTTTAATTAGTTTGTGATGAATTTTATATTTTTTTTATGAAAAGGTATTTAAAACTGGGATATGAGTTACATCATTATTTACTGTCAAGGATGAAAATAGAAGCATTTATCATTATTTTTTTTAATGATATGATAAAAATTGAATTTTTTTTAAGATATGTGAAATATATATATATATATATATCTATATGTATGTATGTATAGGTGAAGCTCTGGTATACTCCCCTGGTCCCTATATTCAAGATATTTTTAAACTGAATTACTCAAATAAATAAAAATCAATTATCTGATTAAATACACATCAACATTTTAATTTTACTTTTAATTATTATAAATAAAAAATAAATCAATAAGAATACTTATTTTTTTAAATTTAGTAAAAATATAATAGTTTATTTATTAAAAAATATACTAATAATATTTTATATTTAAGAATAAAAAAAGTGTTAAAAAAAATGCTGTAGGTGCAAATGGAGTGACTACACGGTCCTCTTCTTTATTCTTGGACAGAATGGGGAATAGTATTAGAGTAGCTCAGGCCTAGGTGTCTTGTAATTTTTGTGTATGTGAACATCAATTGGGTGGGAGCTAGCTAGCAAGATTCAATGCCTCCATGAGTAAATTACATGCACGTGGATGTGGGGTCCATATTTCAAAGAAGACAAGCGTATCAATTGGAAGTAACGCAATCAAATGGGATTAACCATGAACACCTTTCCTTACGGGATTTTAACCTTGATTTAATAAAAATAAACATAAAAACTTATTATATTTGAAAAGAGAGTTGATGAATTTTAAAATTTCCCTTCAATAAAATATGTTAGTAACTAATAAATAAAATTAGAAGAAGAATAACTTCAATTTCTTATTAAATTAAATGTGTACAAATATACTCCATCCATTATTATAAATAAGATATTTTTAATTTAATTATATGAATTAATACAAGTTAGTTATCTCCTTAAAAACACAATAATATTATAGTTTTATCTTTAGTTATTATAAATACAAAATAAAAATTTGTTCAATGTAATTTATGAGTATTTTTTCTCTTTTTCAATATAATAAGAATATAATAATTTATTTATTAAAAAAAATGTTGACAATCTTTCATATTAAGAAATAAAAATATATTCTAAAAAACTTTTTATATACAAGATGGAGGGAGCATGATGTGTGCATGCATTTTTAAAGAAATTAACCGGAGGCCTCATCGCCAATTTGATGAGCGGCCGAGATCGAGTGACATATTAGAGGGACCCGCTTCCGTTCGTCGTCCCGAATTATGAATTGGGAAAATTACGTATAGGTAGATTTACTTATAAATAAATTTCACAAAATTTAAAAACCACAGTTCAATTTATTAAGACCTAAGTATAATCTAAAATTAAGCTATATAAATAATAATATCTTAATTAAATATACATTATATTAATTAAATAATTAATTTATAATAATTTTATTAATAATTTATAACTATAATTTAACTTTTTACAATTATAATTTTTCATATCTAATAGTTATGCAATCATGTGCTATTAAAAAAATTTAATATTAATTATTTACAATTACTTTATCAGTAATTTATAAGTATAATTTTAACTTTTTATAATTATAACTTAAAATATTTAATAAATTAATTAGTTTGATTATTAAATATATAAAATTGTATTTGTAAAAAATTTAAATTATAATTATAAATTACTGATAAAGTAATTATAAATTATTTAACTAATGTAATATATATATATATATTTAATAAAATTATTATTATTTTTATTTTAATTTTAAATTATACTCACGCTCTAAGAAATTTAGCTGTGATTTGTAAATTTTATAAAATTTATTTATAAACAAGCATATTCTATAGGATTTATGAATAATTTTTCCTTATAAATTCCTCCCGCTCTCCCGTTGTTATCACTCAAACCCAAACAATGGCGTCTCTTTCAACTTGTGCTTTCACTACCAGATAGCTCTCATCCTTTACTTCTTCAAACTCGTCTCTAATCTCTTCTGCTTCTCCTCTCTCCATCTCCTGCAGAACCCAGCTGGCTGGCTCTGTTCACTCTGGTAAGTTCACAGTCTTCATTAATTACTCACCAATTTTCCTTCATTCTTCTGTGTTGATCCTCTTGGTTGATTTCTGGAGTTTTCTATTTTCTTTTTTGGTTCTGTTAATTTGCAGAGAAAGTTCAACAACTGCACATGTACAAGATCAATGAGCCAGAACGTGCAAGTCCTGCCATTCTCCGGCTGAATCAGAATTTAGGAATGGGTGGTATCGGAAAAACTGATAAAGGTATACTAAATCCTTGGGTATGTAATTTATTCCTTCAAGGTCATAACTAAACCTTTGAACTTATACGTGATTATCAAGTATTATTTATTAACTTCAGATTTGTTGTTTATTACTAGCCTCCTTTTGTTTCATCTTGCTGGTTTGATTTTTTTTTCCTGTTCATACAATTGTTTGACTGAAATTACATACTTTCATCAATTCTATTCATTGTTTTTTAATATTGTTCTCTGTCGCTTCATTTAAAAACTCATTTAATACTGCCTCTGGGTCGTAGATGTGTCAATGCCCCAACTCGATCAATAAGCTAAGTGGCCAAACGGGTTGATCAGATGTTGGAGAATGGAATGGTGGATGAGCTGAGGCCACTTTTCAATCCAAAGAGAGACTACTCGCGAGGGATCAGAAAAGCTATTGGAGTTGCTGAGTTCGATCAGTATTTTCAAAAGGAATCGCTTACCATGGATGAAGGAATCAAGCAGAGGTTAGTGGAAGAAGCGGTAAATAATGAAATGAAGAAGAACACGCACGAATTGGCACGTAAACAATTGGGGAAGATTCACAGGCTGCACAAAGTGAAGAGATGGAAAATTCAACGGCTAAACGCGACAACCTTGTTCTGCAAGCATGGGGAAGAAAGAGGTGGTAGAGCCGAGTGCGATGATGGTCGCCAGGTTCCTTTACGATTTTCCCTCTGCTAATGTTGGCGCTGGCCTTAGACAATCATCATCATCGGCCCTGGGAAGCGCCGTGGCAGCGGCTCCGTGCTAACTGCTGAATGCCGACGTCTCACCATCTTCTGGGCTTAACCTATTTACTGCGGTTACGATTTACAATTCCCCTGTGTCCATGTCAATATTTAATTGGAAGAATTTCAAAAAAGACTCCTTGACCAAAGATATTAAAAAAAAAAATAACAGTCGTAATTTCTGAAATTTCTCTGTAGCTATTAGGTATTAAATTGAAATTAAATTTTTGACAGGTATGACAAAATTGTGCCTCATTTAAACGAACAACATATAATAAATTAGATGATTTATATATTTTCATATTATATGTTATTCATTTACTTACAGAATATTATTTATCTTTTTACTTCACTTATTTATAAATTTTTAAAATAAAACACTATTATAAAATAACCCTATAAGAGCGCTTTATTTAGGGCTTTGGAAGTGCTCCCGCATGAATGCAACAACCGTGTTCTACAAGCGTGGGGCAATTTTGTCATTTACGTTAGAAATTTAATTTCAACCCAATATGCAATAACTGTAGTGAAATTTTAGAAATTATAGGATTCTCTTTTTTAAAATTCTCCTTGGGTAATTCTTTATTCCTTCAAGGTCATAACTAAGCCTTTGGATTTATACGTGAATATCAATTATTATTTATTAACTTCATATTTGTTATTTATTACTAGCCTCCTTTTGTTTTATCTTGCTGATTTGAATTGTTTTTTTCCCTGTTCATACAATTGGTTGACTGAAATTACATAATGCATGGATTTTATAGACTTCTATGTATCTTTCCAAGTTGTTTACCACCACCCTCTTTTAAAACCAAAAAAGGAATAAGGATCTTTTTTATACACAAATTCTATCTATTGTTTTTTTTAATATTGTTCTCTGTCGCTTCATTTAACAACTCATTTATTTATTTATTTTTTTCAATTGATGTGTTAATACTTTTTTTGAAAAAAATCCTTTTCCAATATATCAGTACCGATTTGATTAAAGTGTATTAGTCCGGTCAGCAGGCGTTGTTTAAATTGATTTCCAATTTTTTTTACCTGAATATTGATTTGCAATTGGTAACCAAATGACTTTTTTGAAATGATATATATATATATATATATTCTCTCTATTTTAAAATATAAAATATTTTTTAAGGAGTTGGATATTAAAAATGTAAGGTATTTTTAATTTTTTAAGATATAATCATTATCTTTTTTCAAAAGTGCCCTTATTAATAATTTTATATTTATTATAAAGTGTTTAATAGAGATAAATATAAAAAAATATAATTAGTTAAAAAGTAAATAATTATTTTATTGAGGGATAAAATTTAATTAAAAATTACTTACATATATGTATAATTACATTGACAAACAGAAACAAGTAAAAGAATGACACGTTTACGTAAGCACAACTTGGGTTTGCGGATCATGCGAGTCATGTCATGTCACCACAAGAACAGCTCAGAGCAAGATGTCTTGTAATTTTTGTGTGTGGAAAAATTAATTGGGTGGGAGCTAGCTAGCAAGATTTAATGCCTCCATGAGTAAATTACATGCACGTGGATGGGTCCATATTCTGAAGAAGACAAGCGTAATTGAAGGCAAATCACTTGTCTATTGTATTCAGGATTCAAATTCTCTCGTTATCGTCCTCCCTCAGCATCCCGTCCCAATCTCAACCATTTTATAAATATATTTAAATTTAATTATGATCATATTTTATTTTTTAATTATTTAATCATATATTTTTAATGATTATTTATTAATAAAATTAAACTCCTATAAATTTACTATTTGAACCTAATTTCAAGTTTATATTTTTATTACAGGTTTATTTAAATTTATAAGTTTAACAACCTAACTCCCAGATGTAGAAAAGAAGAGGCTTGCCCCTTATGTTCTAATTATTTTTATAATTAATATATGATACTCTCTCTGTTCAAAAATATAAGGTATTTTTTGAGGAGTTAGATGTTAAAAAATGTAAGGTATTTTTAGTCTTTTGAGGTGTAATCAATATATTTTTTTAAAGGTGTCTCTATTGATAATGGTTTTATATTTATTGTAGAGTATTTAATAGAGATAAATATAAAAAGATAGAGTTAAAAAATAGGTAAGTATTTTATTAATGAGTGAGATTTAATTAAAAATATTTTATATTTTTGAACGGAAAGAGTATTGCCTATTGTAGGAAAGAACAAGAATTCCAAGCTTCTCTGTTTTTGGCCTTTGCCACGGCAACAACTAATGAAAAACATTGTTTGTTGAAGTCCCTAGCAACAACTATGAGCATAATATTTTCTCTAATTTTATTATAGGATAAAGAAATAATTATTTATTATATTTATAAGTCATATTATTAAATTTTCATCATATATTTTCTATTTATCCTCCATTTAATGTTAGAGAAAGAAAATATAATGTTAAAGTATATATATTTAATAAGAACAAAATTAAAAATTTATTAAATTTTTAAATAAAGATAATGAGTTTTACAATTTTTTTTAATTTCAATAAAATATGTCAAAAGTGTCTTATGAATAAAATCAAAGGAGTAACACTATAAGATTCCTTTAAGGAAGAATCTATTTTCCTTTAAAATTATACTATTGGCTCCTTTAAAATTGCATCCCCACATAATTAAAATTAAATTTCCAAAAAAAAATCCAATCAGTTAAATACTTATTTTTTGACCTTTCGTTTAAATTAAATTTGTAATTGCATTACATATCCAACACCTATTATTTTTACTACAAGTCTTATACCTATCATCATTTTCTAGTATAGATCCTATACTTATTATTTTTATTGTAAATCCTGATTTTTTAAAATATAAAAATTTTACTCCCTCCATTCAAAAATGTAAAGTATTTTTAACTGAATCTCATCCTCCAATAAAGTAATTACTTATTTTTAAACTAACCTTATCTTTTTATATTTACTCCAATTAAACACCCTAGAATAAATATAAAATTACTATTAATAAGAGTACTTTAAAAAAAAGACAATGATTACACCTTAAAAGATTAAAAATACCTTATATTTTTTAATATTTAACTCCTTAAAAAATGCCTTATATTTTTTAATAGAAAGAGTATTTTTTTTATATTTTTAAAATTAAATTTGCAATCTCATAAGAAATTTCATATTTATCATTTTTTTGAATAAAATCATATTTATAATTTTTTTAAGTCTTATAATATTTTTCTCCTTTAAACACGTGAGCTTGATGGACACATCATCTTTTTCCCCCCCATTTGAAATGTTGTTCCGTAGAGTTAGCTTTTTTGACTCCATTCATTTAAGGCCCCTTTTGCTACGGCGAAAGAATTTTTAATAGAATTAAAATTAAATTAAATTTTAAAAATATGTTTAATATGATAATAAAATTATGATATATATATATATATATATCAAAAATACCTAAATACTCTTGCCAATTTTTTTAAAAAAAAACCTGTCATTTTTTTAATAAAAAACTTGTCTTGCTACAGAGCATGACTTTGAAAAAAAGCAATGCACAACACTTAACGGGCATTTTCTAAATTACATATGAATCATATTAACTCATTAATATTGAAAAAAATAAAGACTATCAAAAATCCCTACAAATGCGGAAAAAAAACTATTCATCTTCTCCTTTATTGAAACACGTCCTTTGGTTTTAGGTATAGGTTCGAACTCTCGCCTTTGACTTGTGCCATGCTCATCGTTAAGCTCTTGTGCACCAAAATCATGACCTTAATTGTCAGTGAGAATGCAATGTGATGGGTCCTTCAACACCGATGAGAACACAGGGTGATGGCTTCTTCAATGCTGGTGCTCATCCTCGAATCATCTTGGGTTGCCACTATTAGATTAAAGCAACATCATCTTTTTTGTTGGTGTTACCACCAACAATCTTTGTGATGGAGGTTGTCGCACACAACAAGGAAGCTGATGCCACCTCCTATTGACTATCAGAGACAGGGAGTAGTAGTGGAGGAGTCGTTGGGGCAATAGAAGGGTGACAAGAAGGTAGAAGTGTGCGACATCAAGATTAGAGCATTAAAGCAAAAGGTATTGAGGTCTAAAAGGAAAGTTCCATAGAATTCACCTGATTCCATAGAGTTTGTGAAAGAATCAAATTCCATCATCTTTACCAGAATTGGATTCCATGGGAATCACTACTCTTGCCAACTAAACGCACTTGCATCAAGATCCTGCTTCTAATTCCATTTCTTTCTTCCTAATTCAATGATACCTAATGAGGCCTAAGAGTTAAGGTCTAATTTTATTTTTATACTTATTTTTTAGAAGCATTAAGCACCTTATACTCTTAAGTGGAAAAATTTTATCCTTAAATTATTTTTTCAAAGAGCAAAAAATTTCCTTTATTCTATCATTATATGCTAATGTGGCATGTGTGTGAGGCCAATGCATAGTGACATGTAAAACTTTGACCATGTATTTTAATGTTAATTTGCCTTTGAACTATTTTTTAGGAGCATTGAGCACATTAAAATCTTTTTTTAGGAGTGTCGAGCACTTTGAAATCTTGTTAAACTAAAATTTAACAAATATTATCAAAATATTAACTATTTTTATATTTAATAATTCAAATATTATTATCTATAAATATTCATTCAAAATTTATAAATTACTTTTTAAATATTAACAACTCAAACTAGCATTTTATAAATTTATAGATGATTTTTTATTTTTTATATATTAATCTTCAAACTTTTTTCCAAGACCATACCCAAATCATTATGTTTTTTGTGCGTGTCGAAACTTATTTATATTTTTAATATTAGTTAAGTTCCTTAATTTTTCGTTCAATTAATGATTTTCCTTCAAAATGTTGCACTACCCAAATTTAATACTCTCTATACGTTGTAGTGTTAGAAGTAAAATTAGAAATATGACAATCAGAACAACAAAATAACAACCAAAATGTTTATTTGAAATATCTTGCTTATTTCATTAATGTTCTATAAAAAATTACTTAACAATAAAAAATGGAGAGATGAGAAGAAAAAATTCCTTCGTTAATTTAGAGGTTCATTTTCTTTATTTTTAATACAAAATTATAAAATTTTAAAAATATTAAAATATTAAATTGGGTAATGTAATGTTTTAAATAATAATATTTTAATAATATTTATTAAATTTTATTTTAACAAGATTTTAAGATATCCAATGCTCCTAAAAAAAGACTTTAGGGTGTTTAATACTCTTGAAAAATAGTTCAAGGGCAAATTAGTATAAAAAATATGATTAAAGTCTTACATGTTATTGTGCTTAGGCCACATGCACATGCCACATTAGCATATAACGGTAGAGTTAATAATTCATTAAAGGAGAGGGCTTTTTTCTTTTCAAAAAAATAATTTAAGAATAAAATTGCCTCACTTAAAAGTTTAGAGTACTTAACACTCTTAAAAAAATTAACTATAAGAATAAAATTAAACTTTAACTCCTCATTTAAATGGTCCCGTACAATTTTTCATATTCCTCTTTAAAATTACAATATACTATATGGCCTTTTAAGTACTTTGCTTTTCACTTACCTAGGTAATGATACCACTTATCTCCCATAATTCTTCTTCTTCTTTTTTCAAAACTACAATGTTAGATTCATGCATTTTACTCACGTTTTGATATTAGTTCTTATATTTTTTTTTAAATTTTAAGTCTCTATTTTTTTTATTTTTTAATATTTTAAACCCCTACAAATAATCATTAATTTAAATAACTTTTAATTTACTAAATTAATTTTTCAAAAATATATTTAAATATAAATTTTATTATAACAACTAACTTTTATTAAATAAAATTTTAATAAATAAACTTTTATCTTTTTACAGACTAAAAATCAAATACAATCTTAATTTATTCGGGAAAAGTACCTTTTCATTTCATACTAAATCCTATACCTTAATACAAGGAGTCGAGGTCCTTAATGCCATCGCGACCCTTCCTTTATTCACGGACGAATCTGTCAAATCTCTCTATACTGTCCTTCTTCCCGCCAGGTCATCCGAACAAACGCTCTTCCCTCTCTACGTCATGCTTGTCTAGGACGATCATGGAGACTAATCAATTCTCTCACATGCCCACTTCAACGTATCCACACTTTCATCCACACACTTCCCTCTAATTATCTCCACAAATCTACATTACCAAGCAAGACCGGCAAGGGATGCCTCGCACTTTGTTAGGAGCAGAGTTTACAGCCCCCCATTTCCGTGACTCGGCTTTACTTGCCATCCACTCAATTAAGTCTTGCCGACAGCTTCCGATCATCGTAGGAGGATCCAACTCGTATATATATTGAGGCACTAATCGACGACGATGACTACAAATTCCGATCCAGGTATGATTTCTGTTGTCTCTGGGTAGATGTGTCCATGCCCCGTACTCGATCAATATGTGGCCAAACGTCAATATACAACGGCTTCTCTTTCAACTTTTGCTTTCACTACCAGATCGCTCTCACCCTTCACTTCGTCAAACTCGTCTCTAATCTCTTCCGCTTCTCCTCTCTCCATCTCCTGCTGAACCCAGCTGGCTGGATCTGTTCACTCTGGTAAGTTCACCGTCTTCATTAATTACTCACCAATTTTCCTTCATTCTTCTGTGTTGATCCTCTTGGTTGATTTCTAGAGTTTTCTATTTTTTTTTTTGGTTCTGTTAATTTGCAGAGAAAGTTCAACAACTGCACATGTACAAGATCAATGAGCCAGAACGTGCAAGTCCTGCCATTCTCCGGCTGAGTCAGAATTTAGGAATGGGTGGTATCGGAAAAACTGCTAGCAGTACGCTAAATCCTTGGTATGTAATTTATTCCTTCAAGGTCATAACTAAATCTTTAAATTTATAGGATTTGAATCCTATAACTATAACAACTAAAGTCGTTGAGTGACTTTAGCAAAATCTAGACTCTCTATTAAATTAATAATTTAAATAATTTTACTACAATTAAAATTAGGAAATATTCAATTCAAATCCATTGAAATCTCTTAAATAATATTATGGAATAAATCTCCAACCTATCTTTCACCTAAAACTTATAACTTTTTGAAATAGTGCTATGTTGTTATTCTTCTTCAGTCAATTGCCAGAGTTTTTTTTTTTTTTTTTACTAACAAGGTGGAGTCTTTCTCCGAGTAGTGCTTTGTTCTTCTTTGGCATAATTTGAGGTGATCTTTTCTATGATTTATAATTTATTTTAATCTTTTTTATTATCATTTTTTTTTGTTTTGGATTGCTTCCTATTTGAACATTCTCTATTTTTTCTATTGAATTGAAATATGCTTGCTTTCTATATAGCTTTTTTGTTGAATCAGGACGGTGCTATGATGAAAGAAACTTTGATGCTTTTTTTATTTTATTTGTTTAAGGAAACAGACTGAATTACCACAAATGTTTTGATATTATCTAGATTTTAGCGAACATTCTGCTTCTTTTGGCTTAATTTTTATACTATGGTATTTTGCATATTTTTGTTTGATATCGTTGCTCGTTTTGTATTATTATATGGGTTTGGATTCTGCATATTCTCATATTATATTCTGCATATCATATTATTGTTTGATCTTGGCACTGAATGGGCAGGTGATCATGGAAATAAAAAAAGAGAGGAGAGATTTGGATTGAGTGTGATTGATTTAAGTTATAACAAGATCATCCAAACCGTTTAATTTAACAGAAAGTCAGGATTTTACCACATATCTAAAGTTACTCCATGACTATAGTAAATACAGTCATGGAATCCATATCCGAATTTATACGTGATTATCAAGTATTATTTATTAACTTCAGATTTGTTGTTTATTACTAGCCTCCTTTTGTTTCATCTCGCTGATTTGATTTTTTTTTTTGCTAGCTGTTCATACAATTGTTTGACTGAAATTACATACTGTCATCAATTGTATTCATTGTTTTTTTTAATATTGTTCTCTGTCGCTTCATTTAAAAACTCATTTAAAATTGTCTCTCGGTCGTAGATGTGTCAATGCCCCTACTCGATCAATAAGCCAAGTGGCCAAACAGATTAATCAGATGTTGGAGAATGATGGAATGATGGATGATAAGCTAAGACCACTTTTCAATCCAAAGGGAAGACTACTACTCACAAGGGATTAGAAAAGCAATTGAAGTTGTCGAGTTCGATCAGTATTTTTAAAAGGAATCGTTTATCATGGATGAAGGTTAGTGAAAGAAGCGGTGAATAATGAAATGAAGAAGAACACGTACAAATTGGCACGTAAACAAATGGGGAAGATTCACAAATGTCGTTGCCTTACAAGTCATATCTGAAAATTTTGAAAAGTATGCAAGACATACTATAAGTAAGTGTCGTTACTCATTAAAGAGCACGCAAAGGAAGCATCTCAACGAGTAAGCCATCGATCAAGCGGACGTGGATATGTGTACAAGTCCTCAAGTTACACGACTGGTGTATTTTAAATTTTTAGGTCCGAAGCTAGGAGAAAAACTGGTGCTAGGAAGGGTAATCTTTATGTCAACGACTTTTTTAATGCTCATGCTTTTGCATTTGAGTGGGATGACTGGGAAAGCACACTGCCAACGTGTTGCTGATAGGGTTGGGCCACTTCATGTGCAATAATTAATAGATTTTGATGTCCGATTATATTTGGAAGACCGACAATGACTGTGTGGTGTGTTGTGCTTTTCTTATAGTTTTGGACATTTTTGTCACATGAAACTACTTTTTGGATGCCTGCATTTGTGGGGGGTCAATAGACAGAGGACAGAGAAGGACCCACTCCTGTATATCGTGGCTTTTTTTCGACCTTTTTTCTTTTTTTTAAAGTTCAATTTCGGGTGAAACCATAAAAGATGTTTTCACTGGTCATCAAGTGTCCTGGGCGTGTCACCCCCGACCAGACTTGACTACTTAATAACGATATATGCCTAAGTGCTTTGTATCCGCCCGCCTATCAAGTTATCTGCATTTGTATTTTTTTTTTCTAACGAAAATCTTTAATTTTTTATAACTCAAATGTCGAATCATTGGATAACAAAGTATTTTATTTTAAATTTCTGAGATATGAATTCTATATATTTCAATTTTTTATTGTTTGGTTGTTTCAATTTTTTATTTTTTATTAAAATAAATATTTAAATTTTGCTCTTTAAGTAATATTCTTTAGAGAGAGAGAGAGAGAGAGAGAGAGAGATCTCCGTTGTCGGTCACCTATGGATGTGTTGTCTAGTCAGATTTAAGTGATGAATCAATTCTCAACTAAAATCAGTGTACCACCAAGAAAATATACCTTATGAGTAGCATGGGAGATTAAATTCGTAGTTATTAGGCACTAAATTGAAATTAAATGTCTGAAAGAAATACCAAAATTACTCCTCATTTAAACAAACAACATATGATAGATTAGACGACTTATTTGTTACCATCTTGCATGTCATTCATTTATGTATAAAATATTATTCATTTTTTAATTTCACTTGTTTATAAGCCCTTTGGAATGAAATCAAGTAAAAATAGAGCTAGGAACAAGTGACGTAAGACAATTAATAATATTCTATAAGTAAATGAACAATATACAATATAAAAATGAACAAATTGTTTTATTTATTATATGTTATATATTTGAATGAGGGGTAATCTTGTTATTTCTATTAGAAATTTAATTTCAATTAAATACCCAATAACTACAGTGCAATTTCAAAAATTATGGGGCTCTCTATTTTTTTTAAATAATATATTTGGTCAAGGAGTCCTTTTTAAAATTCTCCCTATTTGATATGTACTCTTTTGACCAGCTTTAATATTTAATATGTACAATTTATACCAGGCCAATTGAAACTTTTTCATAAATAATTATCAGGAAAATTAGGCTGTAACCTATAATGTCTAGGACATTAATCCACACCTAACCACAATGTTTAGGGCTAATCAAAAGAATAAGAAATGTATCAAAGGAAGAAAGAATCAACCTTGGTTTTTTAAAAATTTCAAATGTTAATTTAAGAATACCTTTAAACAAATAGGGTCTCAAAATAATTTGAGTTTGAAAACAAGAAATTAAGGCCCTTTAAAATCTTGTGCCCAGAAAATACAAACCAAATTTTTGAAAATTTAGAAATATGACCGATTCATATCAATATATAAGAGATTTATTATTGATATATAAGGAGTTTATTATTGAAAAAAATTCATAAGGAGTTTATCATTGATATACAATTGTATATTATTGATAAATATAATAAATCAACCATAATGCAAAATATAACATAAGGTATATATGCAAAAGCCCCTTAAAATGTTCCGTGCTTGTTAAACGATTTATACTTGGTAAACATGCATGTTTATTTATTCACATCTGATTGAGGACAAATTAATTAAAAACAATTTTTATATGAAATACGATTTGAAAATAAAATGCAAGAACAACAAGGCCCACCCGATAATCCAGTGAGATAATGAAGCTTATTGGCAAATAGGATAAGGTAGCGTTTTGCGTCGACATAAATCAAATAAAAGCTATGTGGCTTCATTCTCCATTAATCATTCATGCTTTTATTAAGTCTTGTACAGTAATATGAAAGATAAAGCTATTCAAATTTTGTAGGAGAAATCTGATTGGTTAATTACATTTATTACATTATATTAGATTGGATTTAGATAAGATTTCAAAACTGAATAATGAGATATTACAATCTAAATAGGAGAGATAAACCTTTTCAGGTCTTGTAAGAAAAACCTGTTAGTTAAATTTATTATCACATTCTTATTTTATGTTGTTTATTTATATTTAGATTTCAATTATTTATTATGGAAAATATTATTCAAGGATCGCTAAGGCAATTTAATATTAAATAAGGATTAAAAGATTCTAAAATATCATTATGGGACTGATTTGAAAATAATTTTAGTTAGTAAAAGACTATAATACCCTTATTTTTCAAACAAATTTTGATAATTATCTATTAATAAAGATAAATAATTTTTGAAGAAAAAACTCATAGAAAATTGTTGTATATTCTTAATGAGAATGAGTTCAAAATCGAGATATAATTAAGAAGTTGAAAGTCTAAATTTTAATTGTAAATCCATGAACAAATAATTTTTGAAGTGAAAATTTATTTAATATTCTTCGTTTCTAATTAAGAAACAAAAATGGAGTTGCAAATCATGGTACCTATAACAAGTTGCAAATTAAGAATGTGTAATTGCAAAACCCTAAGATTGAATAAATAATTCCTCAAGGAACAAATTAATATTAAATGCTTCAATCAATCCTAATTAAATATAGGAAAAGGAGTTGCAAATCAAGATACAATAAGGTGGAAATTTGTGGGGGGATATAGTTGCAAATTCCTGGGATTGGATAAAAAATTCTTGAAGAGAAAACTTGACACTAAATCTTACGTTCCTAATTAAAAATAGGCAGTAGGGCTGCAAATCAAGGTATAACAAGATATAAATTCATGGGGTATAGTTGCAAGTCTATGAAATTAAATAAATAATTTCTCAAGAGAAAATTCCATGTTAAATCTTGCCTTCCGAATTAAAAATGGGAAACACAGTTGCAAAGTACGGTATCACAAGTTGTAAATCTGCGAGTGTGGTGGTAAATTCTTTATAGACTAAACAAATAAATTTTTCAAGACAAAATTCAATGTCAAATAATGTATGCATGATTAAAAATAAGAAACACAGTTGCAAATTAAAGTTTCATCAGTTGTAAATTGAAGAATTGTAGATGCAAATCCTTGGAATTGAACAAATGAATTCTTAAGAGAAATTTCATCATTCTCACCCCCCGGTTTTTTTTTCCCCTTTTAAGAGACACTACAAAACAAAAGTTATTTTGTGAAACTGCTATAAAATACGACTATTGCAGCAGTTTTGATCCAAACCACTACTATCTCGCAACAGTTTGACCTGTGCCTTTTGGCAAAAAACATTGAAGCGATTTTCCTATTCAAAACCACTACAAACATTGTAGCGGCTCACTAAAACTGCTGCTGTAGAAGGGGCCAAATGGCATGAAATTTTGGCAGTAGTTTGAATGATCGAGTCGCTAAGATTTTTGCAGCAATTTGTTACCCAAACTGCTACCAAATTGCCTCAGTTAAAAGATAGTCATGGTTGTGGTAATTCTCGTACCGGTTCATGCCTAAATTACTACAATTTTGAAAAGATATTAATGATAGTCTTACTCAAACATTGGGACTTGTAGCAGTTGAGGTAGCGGTTTCTTCACAAATCACTACCAATATTATAGCGACTTGAGGAAGAACTGCTATTAAAAGCCATGGACCTCCTCTTTTTTCTACTTTTGGTAATATTTCCTCTCAACTCTTCTTTCTAAAATATCTTGCCTCTCATAATGTTTTCCAAGGATACTTGCTCTTAGTGCTTATCATATTCAACCTTAGCAACATTTTCGGGTTAGACATTAGGGAGCAACTTTGGCAGCAAGAGCCTAAGGGTGATAGGGGTGAAGAGGGTGTTGAAAACTTTGAAGTCCGGAGCAATTCCCAAATGTTTCTGTCCTATCCAGATGATTGAGGAGTTTTTGAATCAAGAGATATTTGAGTCTCGCTAGACCTATAACATCCTGAATTTTTAACTTTGGGAATTTCCACATTTATAAGGGTATTGTAGTCAAATTAAGTGGATTTTTGGTTAATAATATTTTAAGGAGGCTAATGTAGCTAATGAATCATTAGACAACTTTAAAAAAGGGCTAGATTGAAGTATGAGCTGGCCATGATATGGAGAGAGATTCAAAATGAGTATTGAGTTCTTTGTGCCACGTGCCACAGTGGATAAGCCATGCACCATAGTGCATGTACAAATTTTTACTTTTATCAAATCATGAAATCAAACAGAAAATGAGAAGTGAGAAAGAGAGATCGCAAGGAGGCGACGGGAGATGACCAGTAGGTGCTAGGGCTCAACCTTAAGAGTACTTTGGAAACCTTTGGAGCAAGATTGAGCTTTGGGTAAGCTTCCTTTACTTCTCCCTCTCCCATTATGCGAGTTTTTTTTTTGATGATTTGGGTATTTTGGGGCTATGATTTTGTGTTTTCTTAGGTAATGGCCAAAACCTATTGCCTTAGTTAAAGTCTTGGACAGTTAAATCAAGCCTCTAAACTTATATTTATGGATTACATAAAGATTTAGAATTTTTTGTTAGGGTCTGGATGAACCTTAGATAGAAATTAGAAGATTAAGAGTAATATGGGAAATATAATAGTGTTATTTGTATGTTGGGATGTTAACTAAGGTTAATATAGTGTGTTAGAAGGATTGTTGGGGCTAAATTAAAATTTTGAGCATAATGGGTACCCCTAGTTGTATTATATAGGGTGATTAGTGAAAGGATTTGATAATTAAGGGTTTAATTGTATAGATTAACCTTTAATCGAGCATTGTAGTACTAATGGACGCGTGTGGAGCTATTGATTGACACGGTAACCCTTTTAGTGATAAAAAGGTTGAGGTAATTGGATTGTCTAATCTCTCTTTTTTGTGTATTTGGATGGTAGTGTGTTCAATTTAGAAGTTATGTTTTAGTTTAATACTAACCTATTAATAATATGAAATTATGATTATAAAGTTATGTGAAGTGAAATGAAAATTTATTCTAATGCTTTTGTATTTGGAAAGCTAAATGCTATTTTTATATATAATTACTTGTAAAATTCTATGGTTTAAGTGAAAATGAGAAATTGTGATGAATTATATGTTATAAATATGTATTGGATGCATTAAGTATGTTTGGCATGATCATTGAGAGGGT